GTTTTGATTTACATTTCCCTGATTACAAGTGATGTTGAACATTTTTCATATGCCGTTGTATGCCTTTTCTTTTTAAAGGACACTGATGATTATATCTGGGCTCACCAAATAACCCAGGTAAATACCTCATTGTAGTACTCTTAATCTAATTACATATGCAATGTACAAATTAATTTGTACTAAAAAATTTGCAAATTACATTCTGACTCATGCAATATTTACAGATTCAGAAATTGACCTGATATGTGTGAGAACCTTTATTCAGCCCCTGCTGATTTCCTTCTCACAGACTCTTCTCCAAGCCCATCACCCAGGGGCCTGGCCAAAGGCAGAGTTCCCTCTGGGTGCTCATCCAAGGCTATGAGGCTTCCCATCCACAGCTGCATGTCCACACATGAAGCCTCTGCAATCCCTGTAGCAGGACAGGAATAATGAACAGTAATGGGTCTGCTTCACCTCACCAGAAATGACACATGTGAATTCTTTCTAAGTCCATGCTCTACAACTGACACCTAACACATTGTACCCAAAATGGGCAGGCACATGTAAGGAAGCAGATGTAATGTTTGAACACCACTATTTTGTGACCCACACCGCAGTAATATTTAGTAACAATAATACTGAACATTTCAGAACACCTGAAGTGTGCTAGATACTTTGTCTGGTGTGTCTGTATGGGATCTGCAAATCTTGACAATTAGGAGGATGCCTGATGTTATTATCTCCCACTCACATATGAGAAGCTGAAGTTAGATCATTAAATTATTGAAACAATTTGATGCCAATCACACTTTTACATAGAGCAAACCAGTAACCACCCCACATGCCTGCATGAGGAAGCTGTGATACTTCAGCTTGGGAGTATGAGCTGAGACCACTCAGAGGAAAGATTGGATCTATGGGCTTTTGTGAAAAGGAAAACATTTTCAAACCATGATTATAGTGGTAATGCAAATTGAATGATAAATTGTTTAAAAATACTCAGTAAGACATCTTCAACAAAGATCAGAAACAAAAAAAAAGTATAAGTGAAATTAAATTTTAGCAAGGAAAGTAACTCGTGCTGTACTATTTACAGTAACCAAGCTATAGAAGCAACCCAAATGCCTCAAAACAGACAAATGCATCAAAAAGCTGTGGAATATTTACACAATGGAATATTACTCAGCAATCAAAAAGAAAAACTGATGCCATCTGGGATTTTGCTAGCTGAAATAAGTCAGAAGGAAAAAGATAAATATCAGATGATCTTACTTATAAGTGAAATACAGAGAAATCAAAAAAGTCAAGAAGAAGTCAAAACTAGCAAGCTACCATAGATGAGGCATACAACAGAGGAGAGGAATAGAGGGCAGTCAAAACAGAGGAGGAGAATGGTAAAAACAAGGAACAGTCATGATTGTTCATGAGTAATATGGTGGTGGGAGAACTATGGTGACTACAATGATGTAAGAAAAAAGTTTTCATTAATAAAATTTGTTTTTAAATAAAGGTAGGACCTAGTGCTGCAAAGATGTGAAGGTTTAAATTAGAATATGTTTGCTGTTGGGATTGTAAAGTTTGGAGACACAGTTTTACAATTTAAGTGTATTTACCAGAGTTTCAAAAACAACTCCCTGATATTAACCCAAATGGCATAAAAATTTATATTTGCACAAAAATTTCAGCCAGGCTTTTATATCAGCTTTGTTTATAATCACCAGACTATAAACAATATAAAAGGTTCTCAACAGAGGTAAGAAGAAAAAAATAAAGATAAGGTTCGCACCAAGGAATACTACTTTACAATTTAAAATTCCACGATAGATACTGGTGACAATGTGCATGGACTTAAGCTGAATTACATTAAGTGAAAAATGCCAGATTCAAAGACTATGGATTCTGAGGCTCTAGTGAAGGACATTGTTACAAAGGCAAAATTATATGAAATAGGCAGTTCAGTAATTATGACGGCGCTGACTCCAAAGTAGCTGAGGGACCAAAATCTTTGGAAATACATTAAGACACGAGCATACTACTCTCTGCAACTGATTAATTAAAAAAAGAAAATAATCTGAAAGAACAATGCAAAGACATCAGTATACCCTAAAAATATGTGATGTGGTTACTCAGGCAGCTTGATTATTGCATCATTTGGAAAGTAGAGTGAGGAGCCTGAGGTGCCCACATAGGGGACGTCCCCTGAGAACTTCATGTCTTTATAATCCACTCTCAGGCCCAGTCCAGAGACCCGCGGTGACTCTGGTAGCCTTGTTTATGATGGCCAGACTTTGATCAAGCCCCTTTGAACATCATGTGTTCATCTGAATGCTGATGGTTTGCACATGCAGACCTTCCTCGGATCTCTGGATTTCCTACGAACTTGCAGCCATGGCCAAGGAAACACGACAAGGTAAAAATGATCCTGAATAACTGAAATGAAAACCCCTAAATGTTTTACAGACATTGGTTTGTGATTTACAGACACACGCCTGTGGGCTGCGAGAAAGAGGTAATGTTATTATGCCTAGTTTATCAATAAGGGGAAAGCAAGTGACCCGTCCAAAACCACAAGAGAACACATGGTAGATTCAACTTGAACCCATGTTAATGATTTTTCCTCCATCCTTCCCTACCCTAGACACCTTGGAACCTGTGCCCACTACTGCACAGAGCTTCTCCAACACAGTCTGTGCATTAATCCCTGGCTGGATTTTTTCTGTCACAAATACACTCTTCAGGATTGACTGTCCTTTGCTTTCAAGCGAAAGGTAAGCTTCTATATTCAATATGCTTTTAATGAAAGCTGTAATTCATGCAAAAGTCCTAGGGTAGCTACTATGATTTGTTGTGCACAGACATAGATATTTTCAAGATTTTTCTTGAAATCTGAGGTGAAACTGATGAGTGTCAAATCTTCCACTAACACAAATATAGATGATACTAGGGGACCACACTGCTCCCTACAAAGGATGAGTGGAGTGGGGGGAATGTGATGCTGTGATTAGACAAAATTTCATCTAATCCACTACAAATCAGCATTGGCGATAAAAAGAAATGATTTCAACATTTTCTGCAGAATGGCATCCTTACTGTTTCTGTCTTATCCGCACATGTGGACAGTGATGTAATGAAACATTGAACTTTTGATTTGGTCAAAATAAGTTTTAATCTTGAATCTTCTTCAAGCTGTGTGATTGTAGACATGACAAAGTTAAACAAATTCTCAGTCTCTGATGGTGAAAACAAAATAAGAAGGTTGTCCATGACACCCAGACTTACACACACTTATATGACAAAGCTCTTTGCATCGCTTATTGCACATGTGTGTTAACAGGGCTTGTGTATCTTTGCAAAGGCAACGCCCATTGGGCAAGGCTTCTGAAGTGAAGTCCCCAGGGAAGAAGGAAGGGAATCACAGACAGCATCTTAGGCTGCCCTTCCAAAGGCAGCTGAGTCTAATAAAATGAATTAAAATACTGGCCTACAATAAAATATTCAACAACATAATATTTGCTTAAAAATAAATGTGCAGGTTAAAGGCAAGCCACAAACTGCACTTTCATCCTCCATCTCTGTGATTCAAATATGGGAGACAGTGATGAAAACAGAATGAGTGTAAGAAAGGAGACTCCAAGGCATGGAAACTGACCATAGATCTCAGCATCTGGGAGTGATGGAGGAATTCAAGGGGAGAGATGGGGGTGAGCACTATGGACTATGGTGGAGGACCATGATCATCCCGTGAGACCACACCTGAGCAGGAATGATTTATTGTGGAAATAAAAATGAACAAGGATGTAGAATAATGGCAGGTCTGTCAAGAAAAAAAATGGGGGGACTCTTAGAACTAATTAAAATATGGATTCCAAGGAATAAGCTAAGAAAGGAGTACTACCTAGAAGGGAAAAGCAGCCAGTGGTGCAGGGGACAGAGAGTTCTGGAAGGCGTTGAATATCTCAGTGCCCCTGGAGTGTGAGAAGAGGCAAATTAAAGAGGGAGGCTGCAGGACTTCAAAGCTCACTCATGCCTGACGCCCTGTGTGTTTCCAGAAGCAACACAGAGGCCATCCTTCAGGTTAATAATACTTTGTTGGCTAAAGCAGTAAGCTACACACTCGACATGTTACTCATGTTTACACATCATCTCACTTAATATTCACAGTAGTAGCTTGAGTTAGGTCTCATTTCTATCTTCTTTTTGTAGACAGATAAAAATAGGTTGGAGGGACTTAGGCTAGTGTAATTATTCCTGGTAGTAAATGGGGGGGGGGCCTGATAAGCAGCTGCTCCATTAGCCCAAGTTCCAGCCCAGCGCCGAGCCCTCCCTCAGAGGCTCTGCACTGGTGGCATGCACATGCCGCCATACTCCAGGCAGCCCATCGCATCCTGTGCACAGAAGTCTTAGCTCCTTCACTGTGAAACCTCAGACACTGAGCTTGGACCAGTGGACATGATGAGTAATTGTAAAGAGAGTTTTATCTAACTGAATTCAAATGTAGGCAAGAGGATCAGACATGGGAAACACTTAACCCAGGAACAAAGTTTGGCTTGCCTATGACTATATGTGGAACCATGAATAAATGACTCATTCTCTTGTGCCTGGCTATGTAAGTAAAAATAATAACTAACCAACCTCAAAAATTGTTGAGAAAAATAGGTGAACACAGCTGTAGTGTCTGAAGCTTATCAAAGGAAAGCTGAGCTCTCATTTGTAAAATCCATAAATGCCCTGTAGTAAATTTTTACTAAGCTTTCAAGTCTCAGTTTAAAAAATATTAAAGAATTAAAAACTGGTGAGGTAATCCATGATGATTCATAAATTTATTCTAGAAAATGTATACATTGAATTATGCATTGAAGGTCATGTCTTAGATACAGAGATGCTTGAGAAAAATACCCTTGCTATAATGAAATAATGAACGTGGTATATAAACATTTAGGTTTCCTGTAATTTCCATTCTAATTCTCTATTCTTTTATTTCTTATTGCTGGAGGACATCATATTTCTAAACAACCCCCATGGAGAACACCACAGAAGTGACACACTTCATCCTCCTAGGACTCACCAAAACAGTAAAATTACGAATCCCATTTATAATGATCTTCACACTTATATATGCCGTGAATGTCATCGGGAACCTGGGGATGATCCTGTTGATTATTATGGACTCTCGTCTCCACACGCCCATGTACTTCTTCCTCAGTAACCTGTCTCTGATGGACTTCTGTTACTCTACAGCTGTCGTCCCCACGGTCATTGCTGGGTTGCTCCATGGAGACGAGGTCATCTCTTACAATGCATGTGCTTTTCAGATGTTCGTTTTTACAGTCTTTGCCACCGGGGAAATTTTCATCTTGGCTGCTATGGCCTATGACCGCTATGCAGCTGTATGCAAACCCCTACATTACACCACCATCATGACCACAGGTGTGTGTGTGTGTCTGGCCACAGTTTGCCACACTGGTGGTTTCCTAAATGCCTCCATCCATGTTGGAGAAACATTCAGTCTCACTTTCTGCACAAACAATAAGGTCCATCACTTCTTCTGTGATATTCCAGCAGTCATGGTTCTCTCTTGCATTGATAAACATTATAATGAGATGGTTCTTGTTTATGTAGACTCCTTCAATGTCTCCTCTGCTCTTTCGGTTATCTTTGTATCCTACATATTCATTTTTGTCACCATCTATAGGATGCGCAAAACTGCAGGCTATCAGAAGGCTCTGTCCACCTGCGCTTCTCATGTCACTGCCATCACCATCTTCTTTGGGACAATCATCTTCATGTACCTACAGCCCAGCTCCAGCCATTCCATGGACACGGACAAAATGGCGTCTGTGTTTTATACAATGATCATCCCCATGCTGAACCCCATAGTCTACAGCCTGAGGAACAAGGAGGTCAAGAATGCGATCAAGAAGTTGGGTGAGAAGACAAAATTGTCTCTGAGATTATGATTTTAACATTGTGTGGGGCATAATTAGCTACTTTCATTCCTCTCCATCTTCTTCATGTGCTGATTTACAATGTAAGATATACCTTTAAGTCCTGAAGTGACACCCTCACCTTTTCTAAAGTCCATTGTCTTGAATAATGAAAGTCCAGCAATGAGACTAACTAATAATCAATAATGAGAAGCATAAAGTATTTGATTTTACATGTCAAGCATATATATTAGGGATATTTGACTTATTCACTTGTTTACATGCATGTTCTTTGCTGTGGGCACTACAGCCACATGGGAGCAGAAAATTAGCAAGAAATAAATGAGAGTTTATTGTTAACAGTACTAATTTAAACATTAAATTGGGATATTGCTATATAAAATATATCATGGTGATTTTTATTGAAAAATAATCTAAGACTCCTAATTTGAAAAAAAATGTGTTACAGTCATAATACTATGTATTTAATTTGTTTGCATATTTTATTGACAGAATATAGACTTGGCATTATAAATGAATCAAAAATCCTACCTTGCCAGACTCATTTTCTTGGGCTGATATTTTCTCATTATTCCCTTCAAAGGGAAAGTAGCTACAACACACAAAAAGAGGAAGAAAAGTAAAAGCATTTTCAATTTCTTCATAGATGACTGCAAACTTGCATATTGTTTTAAAACTGCACTGAGCACTGATGATGTATTTTAATCTACAAGTACTCTAGCTGGTAAATGTTGCTTATTAATTTTTAATTTAGTCAAGTTGCATTATGTCTTTTCAGTCCTCCATGTTTTTACCACAGTTAATTCACAATGATTTTTCACAATTTCTTCACAATTCCAAGCAGCTTCCACTTCAAGCATATCTGTCCTTTCTGTGAAGCCTCTGTGTAAAGGATACTTTTTTCCCCAGATGTTGTCATCCATAACCATCTTCATAAATGTCCATCACCCACCCAGTGTGTACTATTCCCTCATCCTCTGTGATTCTTCATAGTTTGATTGACATTGACTAACTGTATATTAATTCCTCACTACTATATAATCTCTCTCTATAGCTAGACTATAAATTCCAAGACATCAGTGACATTGTTTTCTTTATAACATGATACTCAGTACTTAAATATATGTGTTGCATAGTAGATTCTAAATAAATATTTGTAAATGAACATATGAAATAAAGGTTGGAGTCTAATGTCCCATGTGTTGAAAATTGAACCACTGATTATATTGACTAATCACTAATTTAGACCTGCCGTATAGACTTTAATAGTACCCCAGGGGAGATACAGCTAGATGTCTGCTTTGCTAAGATATTTTAATATATTCTCACTCATTGTTAAACTCCAAGCTGTTGAACAGGATTGCTTCTAGAAGTCCATCCATCACAAGTGTCATCAGAAACCAACTTAGGAGTGGTACCTTGAAATGATGACTGTGGCAGGGAACACATCAAATAAATATTATTTTGTAAATTCAAAGGAGGCATTTAATATGAGATGATTTTAAAGTGTAATAATGTTTGGACTATTGTTTCAGTTATATTAATTGCACAATTAACTAAGATAGTTGAAATATCAACATATAATATAAATATGACAGTATGTAAAAGTAATAAAACACGCATTTCTTAGGCTAGAATAATGCAGAGTATTCAGGTTTTTAAATCTGATCCTCAGAAAATGCAACACAACACAAACTATCCAGAAGAGTATTCACAAGTATCTAATTTCTTATCTCTAAATAATCAGGAAAAATAACATTTCAACAACTGTAAGTGTTGCTTAAAGGAGCTAAGACACCTGTGCTGTTGTTTCTGGGGCAGCTGGAGGGCAAATATCACCTCTGTCTTCATGGTAATGATGCTCCTTTTGGAACCATTTCTAATCATTATTTTAAATAATTATTCACTTGAGAATTATTTAGAATAGTGAAAAATCTTTAAAATAGTGCAGATTGTTTCCAAAACACCCACTGGCAGGATGAAGAATGACCCACCAAAAGTTCCACACCCTAACCCTTGGCATCTGTGAGTGTTACCATGTGAGGTAAAGGAAGGACTATCCAGATGTGGTTGAGCTCATCATTTTAAAAGTAAGAGTGTCCTGGGCTAACCAGGGAGGTCCCACTGGCAACCCCATGTGTCTTTACAGGAGGGAACTGAGGTTCGGCCACTGTCAAACATGAGTAGGTGGCATAATCGTGAAAGCAGAGATTGATGTGGCACAAGCCGGGGGTGCTGGCAGCCAGCACAGACCTAAGAGGTGAGGCGTGAATTCTGCTCTCAGGCTTCAGAGGCACTTGACCCAGCCAACGTGCTGATATCAACCCAATAAAGCTGATATCCGAATTTTGACTTCCAGATCTGTGAAAGAATTTAGTGTCTTAAGCTCCCAAGTTTGTGTCAATTTATTACAGCTGCTGTGTTTGTGCTTGACTATGTATATCATGTTACACCCCAATATTACTTCAATAAAAATAACAAAATTAAATGAATAAGTTAAATATTTAATAAGTTGTTTTGTTCTGTTAATTTCATGACAAAAAGCTGTTATGAAATACAAAGAATAAATGATCAGGTGACCAATACTTAAGGACCTCTAAAAAAAGAGAGACAGAGACAACAAAGTCCACTCAGTGAAGAGTGCATTATATGAGGCTGGAGGGCCAAGGTCACGCTGCAGGAGCAAACCCACCCACGGTGATTCCTCCAACAAAAAGTTATTCTCACTCCTATGAGTACCTGCACAGAGATGTGGAAATGTCACTCCTGGATGTTCATTCACACCCCGGGCCATAGAGTGACGGCTGCAGCTTCCAGAACAGGCCACCCTTCAGTGAGCACAGCAGGGCAGGGACACTAGATGGCTGTGATCTGGCGTCCATACTTAAGGCCAGAAGTGACACAATCTTTTGCCTCAGCCCCCAATGCAGAATAGTTCCTGGCCCTACCTGGCTGCCAGAAGGTGAGGAAATGTGGGGAACACAGGTGATGTCCAAACACTACAATAATTGTTCCAAAGGATGACACATTTTATTGATGATAAAATATTATAAGTTAAATTTAGTGAATTCTGTTCTCTTGATAGTTGCTAAACATGACTCTCAGCTTTGTTACCTCATTTCATCCTTTGGACTCTCCCTCATGGGAGAGGTAGGGCAGCCAGGTAGGGCCAGGAACTATTCTACATTGGGGGCTGAGGCAAAAGATTGTGTCACTTCTGGCCTTAAGTATGGACGCCAGATCACCACCATCTAGTCCAATACGATATTATTACCTCTCATTATGGTGGTACACTTAAGCATTCACTTGGTCAAGATTGTCTTTTATGCCATAAGAGAAGTAGGACTTAAAGATAATTCTCCACGACTGTTTGTGACAATCATACTCGTGATAATGACAGCTGAATACATTGATAAAAGCAGCAATTCTGCCTTGGAGTTTGACAGTGGTTGTGGTGTGCTGACACACATTTGAAGAGGTATGAAGCTATCCCCCTGTCATACACTGTTGTATGACACAGTTTTATATGTCACCTCAATAAAATATAATAACAATAAATATTTTTTTAATTTTTTTTAATAGAGGCATGTTTTATTTATTTATTTGTTTGTTTGTTTGTTTTGTTTATACATGCACTGGGTACAGTCAGAAGCGCGGGAGGGTGAGAGAATTCACCAGAGCCAGAGCGGGAGTAGAGCAGGCAGAAGGACCGAAGTACACTGCTGAGGGGAGCAGCGGGCGGCAGGAGAGGTCTGCGCGCCATGTGGGACCCTCCTCTGGTGGCCGGGGAGCAGCCGGGGATTGAACCGGCGCCGCAGAGGTCGCGGGCAGCTTCGCAAACCAGCGCTCAACCGCTGCGCCATCGGGGAGGCCCAATAACAATAAATATTCATCTAAAAGAAAGGGTGATGAAATAACAAAAATTGGCAGAAGGGCTAAACAGACACTTCAAAAACACATGGCCAAGAGATGCATGAACAAGTGCTCGTCATCACTGACCATCAGAGAAGCGCAGATCAAAACCTCCATGATGGCAGGTTCACCCCTATCAGACTGGCCCATCTCCAAAAAGACCCAAAACAAGTGATGATGAGGGTTTGGAAGAAAAGGGACCTCATGCACTCTTGGTGGGAATGAGTCATCCACAGTGTTGTAAAACATTATTACCTCCATAAGATATACAACTTTCATTAAGAATTTAAGAGTTAAGTTACAGGGACAAGATCAGCATGCAAAGTTCACCTGTTCTATCCACAGGCAAGGACCCCTGACAATGAAATTAAGGACACAACTGTGTTCACAATAAATATGAAAGAGTAAATGAATGATCAAGAAAGAAATTTTGCCAAAGATATGACTGAATTTTACTCTGAAAACTCTGAATCGTGTTGAAAAGAATTTCATTAGCCCACATAAATTTGAAGAACCCATGTTTATGGAGATTTTCTTATTTCTTGTTGAGGGATGTAGAATTTTCTTTCATAAGTTTTCTAGAATAAAGACCAGTCTTTATTAGGTGTGGTCTCTGAAGACTGCAATTTACCTATGATCCTGGGTAGTGTGAGCAGGTTTTTTTGCCCTCCACATTTGTATCTCCACATTCTTCACTCAACATTCACTTGGAAACATTTGAAGTATTTTCCAGAGTTCTTACAAATTTGATTCAAAGGTTATTTGCTTGATCTTTCAAAGATCTATAGAGATGGACCCTGGAAACACATTATTATGCTATTTTGTATGCCTTTCTTTTATAAAGACACTGATTATTACATTTAGGCTGCCAAATAATTCACATAAATACCTCCTCTTAATGCTCTTAATCTAATTACATGTGCAAAGACATTCTGATTCATGTAATATTTTCAGATACCAGGAACTAGGACCTGAACCTTTGTTCAGCCCCTGCTGATTCCTTCTCACACAGTCTTCTCCAAGCCCATCACCCTGGAGCCTGGCCAAGTGCCCGGCTCCCTCTGGGTGCTCATCCAAGGCTATGAGGCTTCCCCATCCAC